TAAGGTCTGATGTGCGGGACTTTCCGCATGCGTATCTAAGGGGAGGGGCAACCGATCTCACACATTCACAAACGTCACCCAAACAATGCTGTGACACCGACGTCAAATGCACACGTCTAGATTCAATTGACAATGAGAAGCACAAGCAACAATGTCGGAGCTGTACGAGGTAAATGTTGACACCGCTGAGGCTATGAGTGTCCTTGTCCATAGCTCGTCAGACTTTTGAAACAGCTTTGTTCCATGGTGAGTTACACCATCCTTATGCGGCAGGTTCCACATGTGATCTCCTAGAGCTGCCGTGAAGCCTTGGGGGGTCGGTCAACAAGTCGAGTAGTCGCCCGGCATGGCCTAGCGCTGGTTTTGAGGGGGCATTATTGCTGCCCATTCTTATACCTCTTGTACGGGAGCTCCACGCCATGTCTTGATCTGAACTTAAAGGGGTAAGACAAATTCGACTGCGACGTTCTGGGTTGAAGGATGCGCTACTTAGCCCTGATGGCCCATATGCTGCAAATGAGGCGAGGGTAGCTACGTGAAGACTTTCACGACTCTTCGAATCCGTGCGGCGCCGCGGACAAAATGTCAAGCCACCTTTTCCCCTGCGTGCGCAACGAATTCGGAATCAGAGTGTTACAACACGCGGCCCTTGCTGCTGTCCGGGGTCGGGTGATGATGAGTGCTGTAGGCGCAAACCAAATTGGTACAATAACGCCTTGCTCCGGCTTGACGCCCAGGGTCTTGGAAGCCGACCAGGCCGCTGCCGTGGCCTTGCTCGGCCTGTACACCAGCTTGAATTAGGGAATGGCAGTGTGAATTTGCAAAACGGCGCTCAATTTGACCAGTCCCCCCCACTTTCTTTCGAAACATGCTGCTGAGGGTGATAAAAGCCCCTTTGACCGCACACCTCAAACCATGCCTGGCATCCTCGAAGCTGGGTGCGCCAGCGCGGCCCCCGCGCTTCCTAGAAAGGATCTTAGCGCCACGCAAGCCGGGTGGGCATATATGTAAACGCGCTGCATCTGTGCCCATTCCGACGCGGGAGCACTGGAAGGGTCAAACGCATATATATACTCACGGCTGTAGCAGGTACATATATGCATGCGCAGAAGGGCAGAGCGGCTTGCTGATGTCCGTCAGCAGACCGAATTTGCTGCAGCAGCATGCAGCGGCCTGGGCTCGAACCTCTGCCATAGCAGCAGGGCCTCTAGCTTGCATCCATCCAGCATGCAGCTGCAGCGTGTGCACGAGCCGATCAAGTTTGCAGCAACTCGTGACTACAGAGCCACTCGTGCCTCCGGGCATCGCACCACACCCTACACGCCGGTTGCAGGATCGAATGCTGTATGCAGGCACGCCGCGGAGCTCTTAGCAGCACCAGTCACCATGATGCAGGTGGGACAGGCGAGGCGCTCAATCTCACGATTCGTACCTGCTGCGGTTGCCTGTTCGTGAACATGCTGACGGACTTATGGCGTGCTGAGTTCACCATTACCTGCCTTTCCATGCATGCAGAGATGCTGTGGTCAGCCAAAGACTCGCGTCCTGTGCCTGCACGGCTGGTCAGTCAACTGCAACTCCTCTCATGCACCAGCATCGACGGATCAAAGCAAGTTGCGAAATCTGATGCTTCAGATTCCAGCTTGCATTTTGATTGGGATTGACTCATGCGGATTCAATCAAATCGGCCAGGCGTGTCGGAATGACCAGCAAAAGGGGTCAAATTGCTGCTGCTGCTGTGCCCTCGTCATCACCTGCACAAGCCCTCCTATGCGCGCGCCCAGGACCACTCTACGCTGCACGGGCAGAACTCCTCGCTTGAGAAATGAGAGCCGCTGCGCCCGGTATGACATGCTCCATCCGATTCGCACTCCGACTGTTTGTCAGACACGCTCACACTCGCGACTCTTCTTTCTGACCTTCCCAACAGCATTTAGCGTCCTGCTGCCCATTAGCTGTCGCAGTGGAATTCAGAGCGCGGCGCCTCGCACCACCGGTTAGGTCAAGCTGTTTCTTGTGCTGCTTTGGGTATTCGATTCAACTCAGCTCTAGAGCCAAACAGACGACAGAGTCGACACTCCGCTCAATCGGAACCCTGAATCGAGGCCTGGGTCACGCAGATCGTAACACCCTCCCACCGCGCTTCAGGTGGCTGCATGAGGGGTAGAAGACACTCAGAGCGGAGGCACGACGTGTACTTTACGGGAAGAGAGATTAAGAACGTTGGAAGTGCTGAGAGGGGAAGAGTGGAAGCAAGGCGCAGTGCATGTCCACTCGTCCGGTGCCTATATGCCGCAAATCTGAACCTTGAATCGGGGTGTGAACGTGTCCCAATTCAAAGCGTGGATACGCACCGGTATGTAGCTGATATTCTAGATTGTGGTCAAAAAAGAAATCAAATGTTGAAGTCGTTCGGCTCTGATCGTGGGCCTCGGATTTTCGTGAATGCTGCTGCATGAAGATCCCTCTGACGCCGCTGCTGCTGCTTGCTGCACGCACCACCGCT